GGCAGGAGGTGCTTGATGTCCGCACTGCCCGTGAAGATGCCTTCCAGGTAGACCCAGCGCCGCTGCACGTCGATCCACACGTCAAACAGAGCCATGATCCGGTTCAGCTTGTCTTCCCAGCTGAGGGCATCCTCTTCAAACACCTGGAGGCAGAGGGAGGGTCATGGCCCCACCTGTCACCCGCAGGAGTGACAAAGCTCACTGAAAGAAGGCAGGCTGAGCTCAAGTTCTGCACTCGTGTCTAAAAAAGCGCCCAGAAGACGGCGTGCGGGGCAGGCGAGAGCCGGACAGGTACCTTGTAGTATGGGGAGAGCTTCATGGCGGAGACGCTGTTGATGTGCTCCTTGACCTTGTTGAAGAGGTCGTCCCAGCCGCGAATGAGGCGGCACTTGTTCTGGTAGTTGACCAAGTCCAGCTCGTAGGTGTTCCACACCTCTCGGATCTGAACCAGGAAGGGGCAGGCAGGCCGTCAGAGCGCGGCGTCACCGTGGGCAGCCGCAGGGGCTGAGCGGACAGGAGGCCGCGAGGCGCGCGCTCAGGGACCCCGCCGTCTGACCGTCGGTGCCGACCCACCTGCTTCAGAAACTCTTCCAGGGCCATTTCCCCTTGGGCCACGAGCAGCACATCCTTCACAACAGCCTCGTTTTTCTGCAAGTCGACGTCCCAGACCTGGCCAAGGGTCAGCTCAGAGACAACCCAGTTCACGTGCAGCCGCTTCATCAGCTGCTTCCAGTGGCGGTCCTTGAGCGCCTCGGACTTCAGCTCGATCACCAGCATGTTGATCTGCGGGGAGCACGAGTCACCTGTGGGCGCTGTTCCCAGGGCCACATGGACCTGGCCGGCGCCCACCACCTACCTTCAGGTAGCCCTTCAGGAGCCTCTGGACAAACTCATAGGAGGCGTACTGCCGCAGGCGCGCCGGGAAGTTTTTCAGCTGGTTCAAAAGCCCATCCAGATTTTGCCGAAGCTGTGGAGAGAGACACAGATGAGGCCCGGTGCGCTCGTGTTCCCTGGCGTGGTGACAGATGCGCCAGTCCAGACAGAGGCCGCAGTCCACGCAGGACACACGCCGTGCAGTGAGCTTGCCCCGCTTCTCGCCGGCAGAGCACCCACGCGGCCCGGGCGAGTCAAGCCGCGCGGACGCCTGCAGGAGGTGGTGTACCTTGCGCGGCTGTACGGAAACCCAGGGCTGCTCCTTCATCTGGTCAATCTGCTCCCAGACCTTAGAAAGTTCTGACCAAACACCCTTGAGGTCCTGTAATTCCTCTAAGGCCACCTGAGAGTGAGAACAGTGAAGCACGGCAATGAGGCAAGAGAAAGCACCCCGAGTGCAGCAGGCCCGAGGCCTGGCCCCAGCAGGGTCCCCCGCGCACCGCGGGTGTACCTGGACACGCTCCTCACTGCCGCTGAGAAGCCCCGTGTCTGTCAATTCCAGGGCCTCCTTGGCCTTCGCACACTTCTCCCGGTCGTCCTTCAGCCTGCCAAACTTGCCCTCGTAGATGGTGAGAGCCTGCAGCGCCTCCTCCGGGCGGAGATTGCCCTGGAAGCGGCCAAAGCAGAGAACTGTGCTTGAGGCCTCGGAGAACAAGGGAGCCCGCTGGCTTCTGTCCGTACGTACGT